TCCCCACCCCCACACCGTTGGTCACAGTTTCCACGCATCCTCACCTAATTCACCCATGTCGACGTCCAACCTACCAACCAAGCTACCCATACTACACACGCCCACACATCCAATGACCACCAAACACACTATGGCCGATCTTTTTACACGGTTTTGAAAACGTGTAAAAATTTCTCTTTAACTTTTATTCTAACACGATTTTTCATCTTAGCTAAGATATTTTATTTTATACATGAACCGATATGCACAATGACATTAGATACCAATGGTTGTTCAGTTTGTAAGTGATGATCGAAGCCCTGAATGTGTGTTGTAATCCTAAAGGCTCAACGACATGTGATGAATGCATCAAACAAGAGATTCGACCATAGAAACATAAAGCATTCACAAATTTCAAAATATTGACCATTATTACCTAGAAAAAGGAATATCTAGAAGGTCTAAAAACGCAGTCCATTGATGATATCCATGATCTTAGGTATACACACACAACCCAAAACAAAAGACTATCAATCTAATCCAACCCAGAAAAAAAAATATGAACTTAAAGTCAATGTAGGGAAGACTTAGGTTCATGACAAGAAGATACCTGCAAACAGGACAGAGACCCGATGGAACGTCACGATAAAGGCTCGAAGCAACCTTCCGAGTAGTCTAATGCGTAAAGTTCATTGACCTTATCAATATCTGGTTATGCTTTCGTACAGTAATAATAACCATCCAACAAGTTGTTTCCATTTCTTTCTGCTCTAGTCAAAGTGGAATTCCAGAGACGACTATACGAGATAACATAATCAAACACGACTGAGAAGCTTGATCGAGATGAATCTGCCATCAAAATGTTGTAATGTATGGTCGGCCCGTTATTCAAATAGAGATTCATGAATGTCACACACTCATGCATGAGGTACCGTTCAATAATACAACCCTGGGGTAACGTGTGTTTGTTACATGTTTTTTGTACTCTCCAAGTTCCCTGAAAAATGAGATCTTTAATTAAAATAATTCAGGATATTTAATTATCAATATCAATAGTGTGCACATAACTTTCTATAAGAAACATTCAAGTGTAATGCACATGACCTATTTTAATTCCCTTCTAAAGCATAATTCATGGATAGGCATGAGATTAAAAATGATCATGAGTTCACACTACAAAACAAAGGACTTTCACGGACGGAAAAATTCGTTGGTAATCCGTCGCTTAATCCAATTCATTGGTGATCCTAGGTGAAAGTTTGCAGGTAAAAAGGCCGTGGGAAAATGTATCACCCATGGATTACTGACGACAACCTTTTCCGGGATTACCGATGGACACTTTTACTGACGGACGGTATTACCAAGGGATTTAAAAATATAAAAAAATTACAAAGAAATTAAAAAAAGTTACCGACGGACAATAATTATAAATTTTTTTTTAAAAATAATTAAATTTTTATTTGTTTTCCTGTACATTATATCATATGCATAACAAAATCACTCTCCCAAAATTGTATTCTATCAAAAATGTAATACATAACTCAATCTGATCCAACCAATACAACCATGAAATCAACATCTGGCTAGGCTCTGAACCATCTGGTGAACAAATCTTAATTCTCCCATATGGAACACCAAAACCAGCAACAAACCTTGGTTAACAAACAGCAACCTTGAGGAGGAAAAAAGCCATAACAACAAAGAAGACCAAAATAGCAGATTAAGTGCAATCCAGATTAACAGCAAATGTAAGTGCAGATCAGATAAACACACACAACAAAAACCACCCTACTGCTCAGTTGAATAATCTGACCATATGTAGAACCAAGGACAAAGACCTACACTCCCCATAGAGAAATAAACCGGAAACAACATTTAATGCATGAATCCATGGAACACAAATTGATGGAAAATATTTCTTGTAATGGCATACGAGAATAAGTGCCATCGCTTATGATGCTGAAGTTAACATTCAACTGGATGCTTCTTTTCTTTCATATTTCAAAGGAAATCATACCTTTAAAATCAGATCCACAAATTTAACAAACAAATACATTCTACATAAACCTATATAAATCGAACGGATCCATGGCTTATCTTACTTTGACAAACAAATGCATAAACCTTACTTGAGCAGAAATCTATGACAGGAATCGAATCCATCCATCTGCTACACAAATTTTACTCGAATAAATGGCATCCATCTGTTGTATAAACCTAGCAGAAATCGAATTAAAAAAATGAATAGAGGTAGATAAATCGAGCAGATTTAAAATAGATCATGGATATGTAGAGAAACCCACTCAATGAAATGTATTAGGAAGAACTTGATTGGGCCTTTATGGGCTTAAGTGGCACTTAATGAAATGTATTTGGATGAATTTTAGTCGATCTTAATGAATTGTAATAGATTTTGATGGTATTGGGCTTTTATGGGTTTCAGTTTCTTAATGAAATGTATTGAGCTTTGATGGGTTACACCGACTCTTAATAAGCTATAATGGACCGTGACCGGTGGTAATGGACTCATTGTTGTTAATGAATTGTATTGGGCCTTAATAGGCTTGAGTGGCTCACATTACAAGAGGGATGAGTTTTAGAGAAGAAATCTTTAGAGAAGCTTTTAAAAGTGTATCTAAAACTATATTATAGAGAAGGATTTAAATGACAAAAGTGAGAAATGTAACTAAAGGTTGGACAACATTTAAAGAAGGATTTATAGGCTAATTATACGTTATAAGAAATGTCGTTAAAAGTTTTAGAGAAGCTTTTATAAAACAAAATGTCTCTAAAGAGTTTCATCAATTTTTAGAAACACTTTCTTAAGCTTCTCTAAAGATTAAAAAAAAATTTAATTTTTTAAAATTAAATAAAAATATTTAGTT